CGTTTCAATTTTTACGTTACACCTGATCTTAAAATTCGATTGGTCAAAATTACAGGGGTGGAAAAAATTTTGTGGGATAGCAAGGGGCTTTGCGTACAAGTACAATCATCGATCTTAAACATTTATATCCAACTTTGATTCAAAATAAATCGTAAACTGTTTTCTAGGCAAATTTGATTGGACAGGTTCTTCCGGTTCTGGAAAATCATACATTAGGGAGGCATTTACTTAGTGCAATTTGGTACTACAAAAATATTTGTTACCCGATTTAAAAATTCCAGGCAAATTTGTCTGAAAAACAGTTTAAGGGATAGGGCGAAGCAAAAACATGTTAAATTTATTCTCGGTTCATAAAAAAATTAAACTACCTGAGCTTTTCAAAGAAGTGTTGTAAAATGTAAAAAAATTATTTATCAATCGTGTAACTATATCAGAATTATCTACGAATTTGAAACGGTTGCTCCTGTTCCCGTCAGGGGGTACCCTCAAGGTCCGGAACAATAAAATCTCAGGATCTTGTATAACAAAAAACCGCAAAAACAGCAAAAAAGTGACGAATTCCAAATAGAGACAAATTTTACTATGTTAACCAATATCTGACTTCTAATTAAAAATGTTCAGCATTAAAATTTACATATATCTCTTACCTTCTTAGATTGGATTTATGTATGATACTCCAACCTAAGTATTTGGATCGGAAGGGTCCGATTTTCGCTTGATATAAGGGTATCCCATGTGGGCCAGTGTTGGCCGATGACATAGGTCATAACATTTTTCGATAGCATACCGAAATGTGTACAAGGTTTTGCTCTGAAAGATCACGTGATAGTCCGGAAACCACCCCGGAAGCTACCCGGAATAAAATAATTTTATTGCAATTTTAAAAATAATAAATTTACATTTTCAATTAATTACAACTTAAAGATTACATTCAATTTTTTTTATTTTCAGCAATGTTATTCGATAAATTATGTGCTTTTTTTGAAGTTTTTCGCTTTTTGCATGCACCCATTACGGTTGGGTCAATATTTTCTTTAGACATTTTACGTTTTCTTCGTTGAACGGATGCTGGTTGCACCCGAATCTTGGCCCCACTTCGTATCGATTCAGCTTGTGTGATGGAATTGCGTTGATAGAGGTAAGAAGCCAACTTTCCACCTGACAAAGATTCGGCTTTTTCGTAACCTTTTTTAAAATTTTCAAGACCCGCAAGTAACTGACTATTATTTTTTATATCGTCTAGAATACGATGGAAAAAGTTTTTAAGCATTTCAACACGAGCATTCATATCTTCGATGTTATTTGGATCACTTAATGTATTAAATTATATTTTTAGTGAATAAAATTTTAAATAAATTATTGCATTTTTTTGTTATATTACTATGTAGAAATATTGCGATCATATACAGTAGGGGCATCGTCACCTAAGCTCTGAGGAGTATCTTGAATATCTTGAATAGGTTTTATAATCGTTTGGCTATTCTCTGCCATAAGGGGTGCACGTAAAGATGCATAAAAGGCAGAATCGTTTGCAACAGTTCCTTTTAATAATTATATTTGGTTAATTAAGGTTGTGACTTTTTTCTTATATAAATAAAATATATAATAACTTACCACAGGCTATATATCGATAGATCATGCAATCATCAATGGAAAGAGCGGGAATGAAATTAAATGATCCTTCGTGATACTTAATCGCAACGGCGGCTTGATGTTTGCATGGTGACCCACCAAGCACAGCAAAACATATACAAGTTCCAATCGATGGATCAACAGTATAAAATTTGCTGGCAGTCGTTACACTTGGTACACTGTATATATTATTAATGGTATCATATCTAATTTCTTCCTGGTTTACCATTGTCCAGCCTGGACAGAGAAATCGTTTTGATATTTCTAAATAGCCCGGGTGCCTATTGGCGATACCTAATAATCGTCGCTCATAAAAACGTTCCATGTTTGTTACAATCAGTTGGAATATTTGGACAGCGTTATAGGCTTGAGTTCTCCCAAAAATGATGTCTTTAATAATTCCAAAACTTCGTTTCACATAATTATTAGTGTGGTTGTTATGTAATAATAGACTTTCCCGATATGATAATGCCCAAAACGACTATCATTCCCAAAGAAGCGAACAATATAATGCAAGTTGTTTATATTTGGTAAAATATTGTTCTTTAAATTTTAAGAACTTCTCTTCCATTATTGGAATAGTAGATGCATATAAAACGGCCTTTAATGAGTTCATAATTGTAATGCGGTCGTCCTTGTAAATTTTATGTTTCGAATCATATAACCAGCGCCAAAAAGCCTGTAATACATGAAAGATGCATAGCAAACGAGTACAATTTGGCCAACAAATTTCTAGAGCATTACGCTCAGCATATGAATCATCTGTAATAATTACTTTAGGGCCAATTTGGGGACCACGCCCATAAAAGGCATCAGCAGGTAGGATTGTTTTAAGTAAATTATGGGCATTTTCGATCGTTACCTTGGCCTCATCTGATGTTAAAAATATTCCTAAAGGAAGAGCGCCAACCATACAACTTGTGTAAAGAAGATGAATTGACATATTAAGTGGATCAAATGCAGCGGATGCATCTAGGTAACAAAGTTCACCTGACTGCCGAATTTTTTTATGTACTCTTCTCATCAAGCTTGTTACGATACAAAGAATAAAAGGTGTATGGGTAGTAGTATTATGTACTTGAAGGACTGCTTTACCATCATTCGAAGCATTGTACTGATCAACCATCTCTTGTAATCGATTAAACATTCCTCTCCCATTTCGATCGCCAAGTTGAGCATGCCGAAATTTAATATAAAGGTGTCGCAAAAAACCCCCATCCGGATTTTTCGATCGATCAGCCAACAAACGCGCAAGTCCATCATCATCAGCCACAGATAAGTGCAATTTGTCTTCATATATATGTCTCGCTAAAGCCGCTGTATGTCCAATATTAAATAGGTCTATGTACTGTCTTTGTGTTTCTTCACTAACTGGTCGAAAGCTAAAA